ATAGATGATCAATTCATTTTGCTGTGATAATAGCATATAATCCAAGACTGTTAAAAATAAAAATATGGGGTTGGAGAGATGGCTCCGTGGTTAAGAGCACTGACTGCTCTTGCAGAGGACATGGGTTGGAGTCCCAGCACCCACATGGCGGCTACGAACTGTCCTTAACTCCATTTTCAGGGGACTCCGAAGCCCTCTTCTGACTTCCGAGGCATTGCACAACACGGATGCACTCACATACATGCAGGCAATACACTCATACACATAAAATAAAAATTATAAATAAAATGTAAAAAATTAATTAATTAATTAAAAAATAAAAATAAAAACACAACTTAATTTTTCTTCCATTCCCATCGGTCTTCCGATCCATCACTTTCTAGTCCGATTCTTACACCTCGCTCCAGGCTGCTCAGATATCTGGGGCTCCAGATAAAATACCCTGCCTGGCCAAGATTTTTATCTGTTATTGCTAGCCCCTTCTATGTCCTCCATCTTCCATGTCCACTTCCCATACACCTGTCTCTGTAAACTTATACAATGCTCAAGTGGGAAAATGACTCAAAAGAGGTTTGAGTTCTCATTCTACAGTCTTGGTAGCCTTTAAGACTTGCCCGCCTACTTCAACATATTCTGCCTCAGTCTACTTATTAATGAAATAGAACAATTATGGGGCCTGCTGCTTAAAGTGAGGTTGGAATGCCACGATGTACATAGAGTGCTTAGAATAGTGGAAAGCACTCAACAAATGCTATCATTCATGTTTACTAGTCCTACAAGAACAGACATAGAACAGGCCATTTCTTAGGGAAGGAGCCCAATTTTGACCCTGGGAAAATGTCAAAGCATTTTAATCACAAAAAAGAGTCCCGTCCTTGATTGAACAGATCAGAATGGTGACAAGTAGTGGTGGAAAAGCCAAGGCAGACCAGGAAGCAGACCTCGATACCACTGTGTGTAGCACCCAAGACATCCAGAAGTCTCCACTCAGAATACAGAAAAGACCTAAGAAGAAGAAACAAGTCCTGTGATCCTCTTGGGATTAGGGAGCCATTGGCTCTGCGTTGCTTGGAGAATGTTTTATCTCTGAGTTTCGCTTTTATTGAAAACAAACCAGAATTAAAAAGAATGAGGCCTCTCCCAAAGGCGTGGGCCAGTAACACCCAGCATCATGGAGCTGGTTAAGACCCAGATGATGGCTGTAGCTGTGACTCTGTGGCCCCAGAGGGATCATGCCTGCCTTTCTCCTTCAGAAGTCTGCTTGTCAACTAGCCTCCCTTCGGATGGATGGACAAAGCCCTGAGGAAAGACCATGTGCTCCCCTTGCCTGAGGCAGATGGTTAAGTTTTCTTTGAGTCACTGAGTTTGGTTCTAAAATTGTCTCTTGTTGTCACGGTTGGTGTTTCCTGCTGCTTTTTTTCAAAAGCCTGCACCTCTTTTCAGCAGCTATGAAAGACAATTGCATCTTTTTATCAAAAAGACTTAATTTCAAAGATGTTCAGCTCTCAGAAAATAATTCTGCCTTCTTCCCATAACCAGAAATTGTCCCCTTCGTGCAGGCAGGTGTCTTCTTTTTTATTGCATAAGCTGCTTGTTCTGAGTAGATCCTAATAATGCTGCTGACAGTAATAAGGGAGAAAATGGGTCTGATGCAGTGTGAAATGGTGTTTCTGATTCCTACTGGCCACAGCTTTCTGTCTGTAACACACCTTTAGAGATCAGTTATACGTGCTCGTGGGAGATTAATCCAATTTTAAGTACAAGAGAAAAATCTCCCCATGAGGACACAGGAAAATGATGACAGTTGAGGCTCCCAGGACATGCTTTTAAAAGTAAGAGTTGAGACCTTCCATAGCGTTAGCCCCTGGCCTTGTTGGTGAGACTGTGGCTAGTGTGAGTTTAAGGTAAGCAAGTTGTTTAACTTGCACTGACATTTCTCTACCTACATTCTTATTGTACAACATATACTAGAGTTCGCCTTCTGTCACACAGAGGGCTGGGGAAAAAAACTTTTCATCTAATAGACTATGTTAACTATAACATTGTTCAATACATTACAATTAAAGGCACTGTGTCCTATTGTCTTAAGGATTAATATACAGGAATAGATATGACACTGGTATATTGTACATTTATAAATGCTAACTAGTTTTATTGCTATGTGGTTATTTTCTATATATTCCCACAAATATGCTAAGTATTTTATATAAATATTGCAATACATAGAACTTATTGGCTAGTCACTGTTCAAAACCTCTTATGTCTCTACAATCCTTTGGAGTTCCCTGTGGTATAAGGAATTAGATATTACTATTATTTTCATTATAATGTCATTTTACAATCTGAGGCTCAGAGATGCTCAGTGTTTTGATTGAAGCTCTCAGAGTCCAGGCCTATCATTAAATGTGTCTGCTGTGCATCCAGGACAAAACCCTGGCTTAGAGAATACTGATCTCTGCTCCAAGATCATCTAAGTGGCAGAGTCACCTGAGTGGAGTGTGGTGTTCCTGAGACTGGAATGACTAACGTTTGCATGTACCACTGATGGCATTGTCATCAGAGCCAACAGTGCAGAGGAACTGAGAATCCTGCCAGGGCAGTGGTTTTAAAGAGCCCATTGTGCAACCCGTGCTCTCTGACACTCTGGGATGGGCCTCGTTCTATGTTCTATGTAGTTGGTGGAAAGTGAAACATGTGCCTGCTTCCACCATCTTGCCAGATCTGCTGACTGACAGGCCCACTCCACTCCACTTTTGGCACAATCCATTTCTCCTGAAATACGTTCCTGCCTTGATTCAAAAACCCTGTGCAAAACCCTGTACTGCCCTTCTGCTTCCTTCCTACATCACTGGCCATCCCTTCTCTGTCCCCTTTTTGCAAGCTCTTCCTGCTCTTTCTGGTGTTTATAATATTGAATTGCTTGGATCTCCACTTACGTAATTCAGCATCATGGCTTGAATCCCAACTAAGCACTGCTGGTCCACTCATGTCATTACCTTCAACCCCTCCTGGACATGAAGAATGTCTAAATCATCTAAGTGACATCTCTACATGAGTGTCTAATAACTCTCTCAAACCTAGCAGAATTTACAGTTTTTCCCATGTATTAATTAACTGTTGCTGCATAACAAATTACCCCAACTTTCATAATTAAAAAAAAAAAAACGATAAATGTTAATCTCCTCATACAGTTTCTTGGGTTGAGTTTTCCAGTATATCAATTGCTTTGTAATAAACTCTCTCATATGACAACATGTATTACTGCTAAAAATATATACTTACCCCCATACCTAAAATACTTAAATACTTTAATACCTAAAATATTTATTCTTCCAGTCAAGAATTTAAGGTATAAATGGTCAGTTCTATCTTGACGTCTGTCACACAGTTTAAGTCAAAGGATCAGCCAGGACTGCTCTCATCTGAGCACTGGACTGGGGTTAGAGGACACTTCCACAATGGCTCGTGGGCAGTTGGTTAAACACTTCATTTCTAGCTCTCTCCTGATAGGAAACCTTACTTTCTTGACACATGGCCTTCTCCACAGGATTCTTAATTTTATTTATTATTTATTTATTTATTTATTTTTATTTTACATTTGTGAGTTTTTGCCTATATGTAAGTGCACCCATGACATGCAATGCCCAGAGAACTCAGAAGGGGGCAACAGATCCCCTGGAACTGGAGTTATGAATGGTTGTTAGCTGTCATGTGAGTGCTGGGAACCAGGAACCAAACCCAGGTCCTCTGTAAGGCAGCCAGTGCTCGTAACTGCTGAGTCATCTCTGTAGCTCTCTCAGTAGGATTTTTAAGTGCTCACATGACAGTGCTGCTGCAGAAGGCTAGAGTGATAGATTTCAGTGAGAGCTAAGGCACCGCAAGCCTGGGGGTGTTAGAATGGACATAACAGTGAGCCCCTGGCAGGCTTTCTTGCCCTTGCTCTGCTTGCCCTCCCCCTTCTCCACTACCAAATTCCCTCAACCCACCTTTTAAAGTCAGAGTGAATGGGCTTTACTAGGATCTCTTTGAAGGCTGGCTGGCCAAAGCCAAATATTCTTTTCTAGTGCATACCTGAAATTTTTTATCACTTTTAATTATACTTGTATTTGTATGATTAAAAACATTGAAGTGTGGGGGGACTGGAGAGTTGGCTCAGGACCCAGGTTCGATTTCCAGCACCAACATCGTGGCTATCATCTGTAACTCCAATTCCAGGGGAATCCAACACCCTCTTCTGACCTCTGAGTGCACTGCACAACATGGGTACACTTTCATACACGCAGGCAATTCACTCATACACATAAGATAAAAACAGTAAGTAAAATATTTTTTAAAACATTGCAGTTTGGCCTAGAGAGATGGCTCAATGGTTAAGAACACTGACTACTCTTGCAGAGGATCTGGGTTCAGTTCCCAGCACCCAGATGGCACCTAATAACTGTCCATAACTCCAGTTGCAAGGGAATCCAACACCCTCTTCTAACCTCCATGAGCATTGCATGACATGGGTGCACTTATATATATGCAGGCATACACTCATATACATAAAATAAGAATAATAAATAAACTATTTTTTAAATTGCAGTTTTATGTTATGGTCCACAATAAAGCAAAAGCCACTTAGCACAAGAGCATGTTCTAGAGATGTGTGCTATGTGACATGTATCGATGACATGTACAGCCTTCAAGGAAGTGAATTTGGACACATGGGGAAAGGCTCCTAATCCCTGAAATTTTTGCCCCAAATGCTGACCGAGGACTAATATCCTTGATTATAGGGTCTTTTATTTCTAAAGAAAATAGGGCATAAATTAAGTTCACCTTTGATATGGCACATATAAAGCCGTTGGTGGGGTGGAGGAAGGATCTTTCCCCGCGAGGCTTATACTGTAGCTGCATCCACCAAACCCTCTAAGCACCTCTTGTTCTCTTCCTTCTGCCAGTCATGGGGTCCAGATTTGTATCTAATGAATGCTCTCCATCCATGTCTATCTTCCCAGGTGGATTATGATCGAGCACAGATGGTCCTCAGCCCTCCACTGTCAGGGTCTGACACGTATCCCAGGGGTCCCGCCAAACTACCTCAAAGTCAAAGCAAAATGGGCTACACCTCAAGCAGCCACCAGTATCCTTCTGGGTACCACAAAGCCACTCTGTACCACCACCCTTCCCTGCAAACCAGTTCTCAGTACATCTCCAGTGCTTCTTACCTGAGCTCTCTCAGCATCTCATCCAGTACCTACCCCCCACCCAGCTGGGGCTCCTCCTCAGACCATCAGCCTTCCAGGGTATCCCATGAACAATTCCGAGCTGCCCTACAGCTGGTGGTCAGCCCAGGAGACCCCAGAGAATACTTGGATAACTTTATTAAAATCGGAGAAGGGTCAACAGGCATTGTGTGCATCGCAACTGAGAAACACACAGGGAAGCAGGTAGCAGTGAAGAAAATGGACCTCCGAAAGCAACAGAGACGGGAACTGCTTTTCAATGAGGTAAATGCTGTGCTCCGATCACCCCTTTCTCAGCAATGTAATGCTTATTTCCCATTTCAGCAATAGTGCATGTGGGGGCTGGGAAGGTAACTCAGTAAAATGCTTGTGTAAGGACTTAGGTTCAATCCCCAGAATCCACGTTAAAAAAAAAAAATAAAAAAAAAGAGAAAAGCTGGCATGCTATGTGCTTATAGTACTCGGGAGGTGGAAATGGGCAGATCCCTGGTCCTTACCGGTCAGCTAGCCTCACATATTTGGTTTCCAGGTCAATGTGACCCTGTCTCAAAAGACAAGGTGGATGACTCCTGAGAAATGACATCAAGGTTGTCCTTTGACCGCTACACATACCTGCACATACAAGTGCACACACAAACATATATATCCATATAGATACAAAAATAGTATATTTAAGACATCAGAATGATGCTGAGAATTAAAAGACAAAACCAGCATTCCTCATAATCTTTCCTCTAGTCTTGTTTTATGTGTATGCGGCTGTTGTTTTTCTATAAGGTACTTTCTGTGAATCAGCCACTGTGCTAAGTACCAATCCAATTTGACAACAGCACTCTGATATGGAAAGATGTTCTTTTTTTAGTAGCAAAAAAATATAGACTGGTTAAAAGCCTAGCCCAGGGTCATATGGCAAGTTGGCTGCAGAGCCAGGGAAGGCTACCTAGCAGATTCCAGATTCCAGAACTCATATTATACTGTCTGTCTCTGTGGGCATAGTCACTATTCAGTAGTGACTTTGGGGAATCGGTCCCACAGACCCCTGCCAATACCAAACTTCATAAATACTCATGTCTTTTTTTAATAAACACACTGAGTTTAATTTATACACATGTTCTTATGCTCATTACATCATCTAGATTACTTATATTTAATACAATGCTAATATTAAATCATTTTGAGAATAAGAGCTGTAAAAAAATCCTGTGTAGTACATATGCATTTTATATGTACTTTCTAAACATGTGTTGTTGACTGAATGGATACAGAGCTCATGAACACACAGGGCCTGCACCCATATGTGT